GGGTCAAGTGTGAGCGAACAGCTGCATCCTCTCATAAAACACTTATGCCTTTGATCCTCTAATGGCATCGCATGTTTTTGCGCTCAATTGAACACATGTTGTGTGAATGTATAGCTCTTGAAATAAGTGTGATGAGAGAAAAAACCCGATTCGAGCTAATCAAGCCCCCTCCTGTTTCTCGGTGGTCCTTCTCCTTCCTCCTTCTCTTACTTTTTATAATCCTAACAAAGAGACACAAGCAGTTTCCAATTAACTTCCTATACTAATTCCTTCAGTTCGGTGTTGTTGATTTCTATCGCCTCCCTAATCTTTCGCTTACTGGCATAATTCCCATATCCAGCTAAGCGTTTGGTGTCCTGTACGAAACATGTGTTAGGCCAATTCCGAGTTTTGGACACATACATATGCACTGAGTTTTGTGTTCAGGTCATCTTTTTGTTCATGCCTGCCGGTCCTCTCACAGGCAATATCTCATCACACAAAAGCTTGCAATAGACTGATCTGGAGAAAGGGTTATAATATTCTCGACAAGACGGCATAACCGTTGAAAGTGTTATTTTCTCTTTATAAAGAGTCCTGATGTCCCACATCCTCAGTAATTCGCCTATCTTCCTCGACAGATCACACAACGGCAGCACGACTCTATTATAATGGTCTAACTTTGTATCTAGACCCAAATTTGTATTTTACTTAATCCTTTTTGAAAATATTCTAAAATAAGTGTCGATAAGTCTTCGTGGGTAATTATTATCAACCAGAATTCTCCTTAGTCTTATCAATTCCTGGTCCCGATGCTTGACATTCGCCAGACGCTGACCCTTTATTATTATAGACTTCATCACTACTACATTAAGCCCTAAGTGTGGATGAAAAAGAATTTCCAAAGAAGATCTGCATTTTTGGTTTTAATATACGCATCTCTGCCTAGTCTGGTCCCCCCTGCAAGGTTGATCAGTATCATTATTGACATTTAAATAACCTTAGTACTTTCTAAGATTTCCAGATGTTGGTTTAGTGTGGATTGCAGAGCCTATGTAGCATAGTCCACCGTAATGTTAATGTACATGGACTCAACCAACAAATCCCCATTTTCTATCTCCTGCTCGTGAACCATGCTAACGAATTCATAAGAATTCTTAACTGAAACCTTCCACGTCTCGGAGTCACCTTAACTCGTTACAAAGGAATCTTGATGTATTATGCATCACGCTTCCATTATTATTCAGAATAATTGTAAGTGACACTAAAACTTGATGCATTTTGTGCGGATTATTTGCATCTCGTTTAAAAATCGTGTATATCCTCTATTTCTCCATTTCCTCGTTTGTCATGCAATGTTGTAGGCAACCCCTGAGCCCAGAGTTACGGGTTTCTGTATGGTCCTTACTGATTACCTATTATGGGCTAATGTCATCCAAAGCATGCATCAATTTTTCCACATGAGTCAACCTAGCCATAGTAACCACTGCTCTTTTGTACGATGTACGTAACATGACGTATGGAAGCTCAGCACTGAGTCATCGGGATCGCAATGTGGTGCGACGACCTCTTCGCACAAATCTACAACCACAGCCCAGGGCAATCCCCCTACAGCTTCCGGTTAAACAAACTAACGAAATGAAAGGTACTCCTCATCAATCCATTGAAGAAGTCTCAAATATCCATTTTGCCGTTAGCTTGTTTGATTGACGTAATACAGGCACGCATTTGAAGAGCCTTGAGGAAATAAATCAATCTAATATAAGATAAAGTAATTAACCGCCCTATAGTCAGAATTAATTGTAGTGCATCGATAAAATCAGATAATAGTCCTGTGCTTTTGAGAAACTATCAGTTATAGTGACTCACCCTCTCACCAAGTACTTCAATTTACCACCAGAAGCGAAGCTATCGTGGAAATTTTGCTTTCCATGATTATCGTATATATCGTGACCATCCATTATTGCAACATACAGGTAATTCGAGCATGAACGGCTGTTTAAATTGTTGTGAACACCGATTGTCTCGCCTTTCCTTAAATATGTATTTAGGTTAATAAGTTTTCTTAAAAAATATATTTAGTTTTAAGCATTGGCCCATTCCAAACAGCCGGGCTGGATCTCTCTATGACATCACCTTTTTGTACCCCCAGATTTCCCGGCACTTCTCTCCTAATGTATAAGACTTGTTCTTATGCCTTTATAACGCGCTTTGCATAAATATTTGCATCGGAAAAAGACTGTTCAAAATCCGCGCACGAATCGCGCTCGCTTAAGCTTGAAACTTAAATAATAATAAAATGCCGGGATTTTTTGCCAGAATGCAAATAGACGCGCACACGGAAATTTACAAGAGCAAAGCTAAACAGCAAAATTAATTTACTAAGTTATTATGACTCTTCTAATATTGTTTGTTTGTGCATATTCAGTGGGTAGGGATAAGCCGGTTCATTTTCGTGAATCTTTGAACGAATGAGTCTAGCTCTGCGGATGTCTCTTGTATGGCTCTCGAATTCACTGGATGCTTTCGCCGGACCAGGAATGGTGTCATTTTGAATGCACCACAACAATCGGAATTCAGCGTCGTTTTCTGATTAAGTCGACACATAAATCTCACATTCACACAAACTAAATGAAAGTAGGCTATAAACCCTGATAAAATGTGGATGTATCTCCCCGCCCTTAGTAAAAACATGCTGTTTTGCATAATAGGATTCATGTTCTATAAAGTCTCGCATGAAGTAAAATAAAATATTTATTTGTATCTAAGAAAAAGAAAAACAGTGAGTGACGTTTGTCTAAAAGAATTAATTATCTAAATAATAGGATATGCTCATATATATCGGGTTGTAACTGATTAAATGGAAGAGTTAGTCTTAATATGTCAGTCATTCGCCTCAATCCCAGCTAGTAACCCACATAAGTACATATTTTAAATATGTTCATAGATGTATTGACGAAGTTTCCATAAATACATGGTCAAATTAAATTTTTTGGGCCAAAATATTGCGTAATAAAGGCAGTCAAGTAACGAAGTTTCTTTAATATATAAAATTTTTATTTACAAAATAATTTATTATTCCTAGATAAATAAGTATGTAATGATATACATAATGAATTTCTTTTGAACTCTATGGGAGACAGATGATGAGAGGTAGTAAGGTTGATACTAAAGCACATGGTAGGTAGTAAGAGATCGATAAAAAGAAGATACAAACGGTGCTTTCAAGCAAATCATTCAAAGAGAAGGTAGGTCAACTAGGCACATACAGAATTTATTGAAAGAGATTATTGAAAGAAAATAAAACTTCCAAGACGTAAATCACGCTGTGGAAACATAATGGAACGAACAGAGCAGTATGAGCAAACCAGAGAAAGAGTAGATATGCAAGTTTGCTCGGAAATTAAAGTACATTATTGCGAAGAGTAATAATGCAGGAGATTTGCCTAGTTTTATGAATCTAGCTTGGCTAGGCCAGTCAAACGACCTATAGACGGCTTTGCCCAAATTCAATTAAGTCGGGAAATCGATCTGTGGCGGCCAACAGTAAAAATGAAATTGAGACTTTATTAACGAACTAGATCAGTGTCTCCCTGGCCCACATAATCTTCATCACTGAATCTATCATCATCCTGAACGTTCAGGCCCTCTTCTTCTTCTCCGTAATCCGTCTCATCAAACCAATATCGCTTCCGACAGGCTGCTGCACGCCGCGGCCGCTTACTGGGCCGCTCCTCAGCTCTATCATCAGCCGCATCAAAACCTAATTCCCGCCTGGCCGTTTGGCCTGACTCCACGGCCTCCCGAGCTACCCGGGTCAGGCGCCGAGATCGCTTCGGTCGGGCAGTCTTGCTTGGTAGAACGTAGTCTGTTCGGGAAGCGGGATTTCTGTAGCGGTAATTATCACTTCCTCTAATAGCACTTCGACATAAAGAGCCAACTTTTGATCGCCGACTTGAAGATACCCTTTTGGCGCGCTTAGGCCTTGAAGGTGCAACAGTGGATCTGCGACGATGCCTGCGGATTGAGCGATTCTTAGATGTGCTAGCCGCAGCAGATACTCGAGGACAAGGTAATCCATTGTCAAGATACCTATAGCCAGAGGATTTCTGTAAAGGAGAAGTTTCGATCTCCTTACTCTCCTCTACTTCCACTTCTTTATCAGATTCATTATGAAGAGCCTCGGAAAGTGAAGAACGTGGATTGGAATTACGAGAAGATGTCAAAGAGGAAGATGAGGTGAGGGAGTCGGAACCCGAGATGGAGGAAGAACGTGAAGTGGCTGATGAGGAGGTTGGAGATGTCAATGAATCAGAAATTTTATTCAAGTCCATTTTGTTCGATGGCAAGGTACGGAGGTGATATGAAGCTAAAGCAAGAGAAAGACAGCTGCATGCAATTCAAGCCAACAAGGAAACATAAATATATGGTTGAGGCATAGTAAAGATAAACGAAAAATTTAAATTAATATAATAATAATGAAAGAACTCTATAATGTCCCCTTGAAGCATAGAGGTTTTTAAATTAATTCAGTCGATTAAGAGACACCAAAGAGTTACACATTCATATCTACCAATATAATTATATAAAAATTTTCGGAAAAGCTTAAAAATGTAAATTTAATAGTAGTTTTTCATCAATAGCTGTAATTAATAGAACTTCAACGGTGAACGGTGGCAGCACAGAATTCTCTAAAATGCCTGGATGAAGAATAAATTTAAAAATAAAAATGACGTTGCTGCATATATCTAGCATACGCCTTTATAAAAGGCTGCCAGATCATGAGTCTATAATAGTGGCTGGAATACTCTTAGTCAAGCAGGATAATAAGGTTAACAAGTAACGTATAAGTTGATCGTTAAAATAACGCATAACCAAATAGGCTAATAATCAGGAAATATCATTGGCCACTCTAGTGTTCAGAAACGATAAGTCAACGCCACAAATCAGAGCAAGGAACGTTGGTTGTGTTTCAACGGAGGGAAGCATTAATAAGCTGTACTGTAATTTGAGATATCTGAGTTATATGCCACTCTATTCCTTACCAAATAAGGAATTGGAATAAAAGATCAAATCATCACCAAGGCGGATACAAAGTATATGAAAAATAAAGTTCAATAGTAGTTTTGCCCTGAAGCTCCGAGGTATGCAAATAAAAATAAGGATCGTGTGATAACTCACCTAGACCATAAATTCGATATTTTTTTTACCAGTATGCTAGAAAGCAAAACAAGGATGCAATATGGCCAATTTGCGAAAACAAGGTCAAACAACTTCAATAAGTACTCAGGGTTCGTTGGCACACATCATCCAGTTTAAAGTAAAACGTATTCGCTTGGAAGAGAAAGGTTGTTTTAGGAGAAATATATTAGATGTCAGCAGTATTCAAGACAATAAGTAATTCCTGAGTAAGAACTTAGTTG